TAAACATAGGTAATTTGGGGCACTACATGGTATATCTGAGTTGAGATCATTAAACATTTTAGGCAGCATGAACTTTCTGAATATTGAATACACTTCAGATAGAAGTACTGAATACACTTCAGAGAGAAAATGACAATACTTCAAGTGGAACAGACTTTTTCCTTCTGAAAGGAGAAAACAAATAATGGCAAAATTTTTGGTTATCAAGATACACAGTAAAAGACAACACAGTTCTTACAGACAAAATAAGAGTCCACAAGTCAAACTAAGATACAAAATACAAACTAATACCCCAAAAAAACAAGTTAAAGAAATGAGAAGAATCCATAAACTAGTAAGAACCAAGCAGATGAGTCACAGACAAGTATCATTTTAAGGTTCTAGGAAAGAAACTTGAATAGGGGGAGAAGATAAGTAGGGCTCTAAGAATTCAGAAGCATTAAAAAACAGTCCCAGGTCTACAAGGACTGAATAGGATGTCTAGAAAGGCCACCTGACAGTCCCAGAGATAAAAGACTAGTGAGCTTTTGGAATAAGAGAAGGAAAAATACAGCAACCAAAGTTAAGAGCAGTGTGTTAATAGGAGATTCAAGTTTAAGATTGATCAGTTTTTCCAAAAATCATTTAAGTACCACAATTTTGCACAGAAATCAAAGTTTCTGAATATACTTTTTAATGAAGTTAATATTCTGAATCCAAATCACAATTAAAAGCATAGGGTGATGAGCGTAAGGGGAGATTTTGTATCACTCCAACTAATTCCTTTATTATCAACTAGTCTCATAATTAAAAGCATAGGGTGATGAGCGTAAGAGGAGATTTTGTATCATTCCAACTAATTCCTTTATTATCAACTAGTCAACATCAATATTAATACAGATGTAATTTTGGTGACTGGAGTAAAAAATAACTGTTCAAGATTATCCAGACCCTAGTTGGAAGGGGGTTTTTCCACCTGACTCCTGTCTTCTGCCTATTGTCTTGCTTATGAGCATCTAAATCTGATAATTAAAAGAAAGTGGAATTCAAAGGCAACCATTCCAGCACAAGAAAATTATTTGGGTATGGGTAAAGGGAGAGCTTAAATAAATTTTGTTTTAAAAAAGAATTCACAAAATTCTTATGTATTAATTTCTCTTATGGCATTTAAAAGAATGAGTTACAACAACTGTTTTGTATATAACTGTTCAAATGAACCTCTACTGCTTACAATAAAATTTTTATACTGGAAAACAATGAGATGAGGGAGGCTGAAGTTAACTAGTATAAAGCTTGAGAAATTTTCTAAGTACCTTATTTATTCACGTTATTCCTGTTTACGAATAGTAAATATATTTAAGCAGCCAGCAGCTTTGGCTTAAGTATTTCAGGGTGTATATTAAATCACTTCGTAGAAACAAGCTTTCGGTTGGCTTTAACTACAGCAAAAGTACAAAATTTCATATATAACACAGGTGCATCATGTTTTTTTCCAACTGTGTGGAATATATGGCTTTTTTTTTTTACACAATTCATGCCAGCAAAGAACATCAGAACTAGAAATTTCCCATCTTATTTAGTGTTGGACTTTCCACTTGGAAGTTTTTTCCAAGGAAAGGTTAGCATATAAATTATCAATGGTACATAAAGAAATGAAATACAATGAAAGATTTGGACATATTTAGAATAATTTCTAACAGAAACCATGTCATTTTGATAGCTGAACAACACTAAAATAATTCACTGTAAATATGGTTAATAAAATCAGTTTATTTTTAAAAAATGGGCACATACAGATTAAAATGTCAGAACTGAATATCACTCACTTATAAAACCACCCAAACATATCATTTGCCTGGTTACCTTTCTCTCTGGTAAGAGACCATGAAAAGGCCCACAAACAGTACAAAAATGACCAAAAAAACCTCATTAAAACTTTCATTATACTCAAGTATTAATCCCCCCAATTACACTGTGTAAGCAAGTATGAATTTTTTTCAAAATATGAAAGAAATATTTCCAAATTCTCAACTGGCCTGACATCAAAATGGCAAGAAATCACTAACTCTCAAGACAGTATTTTACCTTGGCAAATTCCTCTGATAAATCTTTCTAGTCTAATCTCACCTTCCTCTTTGTAGGAGTGGTCTCAGAGCCATCATAATATCAGCAGTCCCCATTAGAACTTTTGTGAGTCAATCACATGACATGTATGAAATAGTATTGTAGGATGTTTTAAAACCTGAAAAAAAAATCTATCGTATGCTGTGCCAGGAAAGGTCACAATTCTAAGTAAGTTTTCATTTATTTTCTTAATCTTTATGTAATAACTCTCCCAAGGTAACTATAATTTAATCTACTGCCTAGGAATTCCAGAAACTCATTAATGACTTTCAAAAATGACAAGTCAAAAATTCATAGGCCCCACAGTAACAAAACCAAATCTAAAATTTTTAATTCAAAAAAAAAATTGCTCCTGAACTTTTAACAATTAAACAATAAACATATACACAAATATATATGTAAATAAGTACAGAGTAGTTACAATCTTAATAATTACAAAATAGAGCTAAAAAAATACCAATGGAAATCATATTATTCTACATATACTAGGTAGGTGCAGGTGTAAATATCCAAAGATTAACAATGCTGATAGTACTTAAAAAGAGTCAGACCCTTGAGAATATCTTCTGATATTCTAGCTGAGTAACTGTGCAAGCCACTCTGCCTTTTAAATATTCATTTATACTAATACACAACATCATCAAGGCCAAAACAGATTGTTTTGCAAAAAATGCCTTGTTTTAAGTATGCCAATAATGCATATTTTCAAGCGTTTTTATTACAGCATATAGTACAAAAAATGTGTTTTGTGATATAGATGGTTAAAAATCACCCTGCCCATTTCTGCAGGAATCAAATCTCAAATGCTTGGCAGATCATGATGGAAGAGAACTGTTAGATCAAAAATGAAGAGAAAAATTAACAAGTGTTCTAATGGCCATGAGTCAAAATCAGCACTTAAGGTAACACACTTATGTGTTCAATAAGGTTGGGAAGGAAAACTGGGTTGGAGGCGGGGCGGTAATGACAAGATATTAAAGCATACATTAGCAATTGAATCTAGGTCACTGATACATAGTGTCTTAAGATTTGCAAAGTTAATATCTCCTCCCGCATTAACTGGAATAATCTCTTTCAAACTGAGCACACTTTACTATATTCTTTATTCTCTCGGGAATTAAGTTTCAATAATATCAAAGGCTGAGATAGTTGCTTCAATAAAACAGGACAAGGGTTAGCAACAAAATGCCCTATAGAACGTTTAATTCTAACACATTTTTTCATGCTGGATCATTTTCTACCTTGGATCATTTCAAAAAGGAGGGAAGCACACATACACCACCATTCCATCCAAGGAATAAATGTAAATGGAAGAAAACAAACTTTTTAGTTTAGCTATGTTAAAAAAATTTGCTTAGAAATGCTAAGAAATTAGGGCCACAAAGCCAAACATTTAACAATTTTCTGGAAACCTATTTCTACTTTAACACAACCCTCTCCTTTGCTTTAGCATTTAACAAAGTAACTGACATTAAGTTTTGCTAAACTAAATTATTTCTAAACAGATTTCAAATTTCGGGATCAAGCACATCTCAACTAGTTATTGATCACTAAATACCCTCTAAATGTCCACACAAGCAGTAAAAATTAACTATCTAAGAAATCAACCTTCCCAGGTTTTTATTTATCCTTCACAAGCCATTAATAAACTAAACAGCCTCTTCATATCTTCTTGAAAAGGGATTAAATTACCTTTATAGAAATGTCATTTTTTTAAGTTTTTAAGACCGAACTGGTCATGGAAAACATAAGGCCCAACTACCTTAAAATGAATTATGGTAGTGGAGTTTCCAAAGAGCTGTTAAAGTTTGAATACTTCGACAACCCTGTAAGGTAGGTACTGCACTGCGCCCATTTTACAGATTAAGAAACTGAGGGTTGGAAACGTCAGCTCGATTGGCCTAGCCCCAGCACTCCGTCCACTGCACCAGACCGCCTCTTCGGAGAAGATCCTTCATTTCAGAAGAGGGCAGCCAGAGCCGTCTCTTATCTGGGCATTAACGCCGCCGCCCTCGGGGCCGAGGTCACTGGGCAGTCCGCGGGGTCCCTGCCGCCTACACCCGGCACTCCACCACTGACCCCATGGCTCCAGGCTCCGCCAAGTCCAGCGTGTCAGGCTCCAAAGCAGCCGGCCCGCGGGACGCGGACGAGGGGGCCAAGGTTACTGATCGCGTCCGTCCGAGCTGCAGAGTCCAAACCGGGCGGCGCGGTCAGTCCGGGAGGAGAGGCGAGTGGGAAGCGCGGGGCCCGGTCTCCGTGCCCGCGGGGAGCCGGAGGGAGACACTGCCCTGGCGGTAGGGCCCGAGAAGGAGCGAGAAGGCGCGGTTGGGGCCGCCCGCCCGCCTGCTCCACCAGCCGGGCTCCGGTTCCTTCAGCGCGGCGCGGCGGGAGGCAGGCAGAGAGTGGAAAGGGCGGGCGGGCTCCGGGGCGCGGCCGCCTCCACTCGGCCCGTCCCCCTCCCCCCTCCTCCCTGCCTCCTGCTCCCCACCCCCCGGCAGGACCGCGCAGCGCAGCCCCGGGTCCGCTCCTCCTCCTCCGGCTCCGGCTCCTGCTCCTCCCGCTCCAACGTCGGCGGCTCCCAGCTCTCTAGGTCGGGGGGGAGACGCGCTACTTACCCGCCGCGAAGAGATTTACGTAGCGGGCCTCGTCACTGATTACGGGCGAGAGGAGGTGGAGACGGAGACCCGGGGCCCCTGAGCGGCGCCGCCGCCGCCGCCCAGTAACCCCGCCGACGGCAGCCGCTGCGGCCGCTCCACGTAACCCCTCACGTCAGCTCGGATGCGACGACGGCCTCTTTGCCGGGGGTCGGGGGACGAAATGTAGCTCCGAAGCTGCGGCTGGCTCGAACCGCCTCCTAGCGCCCAGCCCTCCCCTCCCCTCCCCCACTCGCTCCTTACCTCCCTCCGGCACACGCAGCGGAAAAGTTCAAAGCTCTGACTCCGCCCCCTGCCGGCCGCGAGCTGGCGGGCGGCGCTGACCAACAATTAAATGGAACGAGCTGGAAGGGAGCGGGGGGGAGGGGCTGGCCTGGAGGGTGAAGGGAATGGGGGAAGAGAAGGGAGCCCGGCCGAGGGGCGGGGCCTGAGGAGAGAGGCCGGGGTGGGGGGGCAGAGTGGGGAAGTGGAACCGGAACCAGCCGCGGCGCGCGCGGCGCTCGGAATGCCAATTGGTTGCAAACACGCTCAACGGCCTCTGGCCCGCCCCCACCCTCCCCCCCTTCCCCCCGCCGGGCTCGAGGGCTCCGTCTCCTCCGCCCATAGCCACGGTGAGGACTTTTCGCGATCTCTTGACCGTTGTTCGGGCCTGAAAGCCTGAAGAGAGGCGCTCCTCCGCCGGGGGACGGCCCCGAAAGGCTGAGGGGATCCCTGCCGGCTCCCCGGGCAGGAGCGGTGGGGCGGAGGGAGGCCGTCGGTGACCGGCAGGCGGAGGTTTCCAGCCTGCTGTGACCGCCGGGTCGAGCGCCGCGCGTCCTCCCTTCGTTTCCTCGCCGTCACAAACGCCCCCTTGACAAGACTCGAGCCCTGCGGGTTCTTGCCCTTCCCGGGGCCCAGGTGACGAAAGTGGCAGCTCCCGGGCTCAGGCCGCTATGTTTGTTCCGTGACCTTGGCGGTCGCGCCGTGGGATAGCCTTGACCTTGCCTCTTGTCTCCTCCCCGGGGCTGCAGCCGGCTACAGCCGGAGATCTCAGCCCCAGGGACCCACCCGGGCCCCGGAGAGGCCGGGGCGCCCGTGGGGCTGGTCAGCCAAATTCTCGGGCTTCCCTTTCGGGAGAGGTTCCCAATAAAAGGCAGCTGTCCCCGAGGGAATGAAAATGGTATAGGTAAAGTGCCCGCAGTTAAGGCGTGGATAGATTTCTGGGGGTCTGTGGTCTTGAGGGGAAAAAAAGTTACGTCTTTTTTTTTTATTCATCTGTAAACAAGCATTCAGTCAACAAGCATTAATTAAATGCTTACAGTATGCCAGGAACGGTGACATACAAAACACTGGAGATAGAAAGGCAAAAGACAGTCACTATCCCAGGGAGCGCAATATGCAAATAACTGTGCACAAACAAGTATGTACTAGATGAATTTCTTGCAGTCCCATGAGGAGAGCACTAACTAACTAAGGGAGAATCGGAAAAAAGACTAATTGTAGAAGATGTAATTTTAGCTGGGACTTGAAAGAAATCAGAGAAGGGGCAAAGAATTCCAACTATGAGGAAATCAGGGAAAACGCATGGAGTCAGGAACGTAACTGTCTTGTGTAATCAAGTAACATTTGTAAAGCTCTTTAGCTATATAAATGTGTTAGCTGTTGTTCAAGGACCAGCAAGAAGGCCAGTGTCACTGGATCTTCTGTTGTTTAAAAAGAATTTTCTGGGAAGCTGTCCATAGGTTTCACCACATTGCCAAAGGGGATCCCTGTCCCAACAAATACAAAGAGTCCCTGGTCTATTAGGGGTTTTGGACATGCCTAACCTAGAAGTTTGTTTTCCTGGACTATGCATATTTGTTACTACGGTTTTATTTCTCGTAGGTTTTGCTCAATAGTGTAGGTAGGGAGAAATGCTTGTTTAAAAATATATGCATATCTCTTGTTATATGTATAGATAGGGAACTATATAGATAAATATTAAGCCCTACTCTAAAGGGATTGGGTGGGGGAGGGGCCTACATAATTTGTCATGCTGAAATCTAAAGATACTTTACAAGCAGGGATTTAACCTTAAATCTTAGCATCCCTAGGAACTTAGTACTCTGGTAATCACTGTTCCTGCCTTTATAGAAAAGCAGGAACTCATAAAAGTTCCCTGATAAAGAAAAAAAAATGTATGTCCTGCATATTGTGTTGTGTGTATTGGTGTCAGTGCAGTGGCAGCCACCACAGTGATGCTTTTATGAAATAGTTTTTAGTCCCTGGAATCATCTCAGTAGCATGAGGAAAAGATATATGCAATAGGAATGAGTGGTGAATCTTGACAAGGTACTAAAGGTACAAATGAGCACTACCAATTCAATTCTCTTTTTAACATAAGCAGAATTTAAAGATTGGATTTCACTCCCAGGGTTAATATAGAATTTAGATAGACAGGTAGATAGATAGATTGAGTGTTATTTTGTTTAGGCATTACAGATTTTTTTTAGATCAGGAAGCATTAAGGACTTTCTACATGGCTGGCACTGTGAAAACCACTGGGGTTAAAAATGTATGTTCATGTCAAGACTCACAGATTAGGAGTAACGTAAGGTAAGGGGGAACAAAAGAATTATAACTAATAAAGACATAAAAGACATGCCTACAGAGTCAAAGCCAACCTGAAAACAAGTGAGGACCACTTGTGGGATGGATTTCAAGAATAGGGAAGGGTCCAAAAACTGAAGGTCAAAATAAAGGTCAAGTGAGAGGTCAGGAAAAGTAGGAGAGGGAGGTGTGGCTAGAGAGTGGAACTGCAAAGTTCTGGATCATGGAGGTGCTGCAATTCCAATTTATCCTATATCTATCTAAATTGTCTTGTCCACAAGTAGGTGAAGCAGAGGATAAAGCACTGGAATTGGACTCAGGAAGACCTAAGTTCAAATACAGTCTCAGACATTTACTACCTGTGTGATCCTGGGCAAGTCAATTTCTGTCAGCCTCAGTTTCCTCAACAGTAAAATGCCAATAATAACACCTGCCTTACAGGGTTGTGAGGATAAAATGAGATATTTGTAAAACACATCACAGTGCATAGCACAAAGTAATCACATAAATGTTTTTTTTTCCTCTTCCCTTCTTCCTTTTTTCCTTCCTTTCTTCCCTGCCTTGAAGGCTGAAGTGATATGGAAGAGGAGGAGGTCATCAGAGTGAGGGCATAGAAGAATTAAAATATCAGGTTACTAAAGGCATCAGCAACATGAATGTTGAAACCCTGAGAGTGATACTAGGGAAGGAAATACAGTGAAAAAAACCATTAACCACATGCTAAACAGTAGGAGGAGGGGAGGGAAATACTGACAACTGTAAGGATAAGAATAGGTTGGCACAAACAGATTGAATGGACCTTGAAAAAAGTCACTGAATGATGATGTTAAAAGATGTGAGTAAGGAGTATGAGGACTCACCCTCCTAAACTTTTCAGTCCGTGGAAGTAAAAGAATGAAAGACCAATCGTGAAGTTTTCCAGGGATTTGACTCAGAAGAGCCAGGTTTCTGTTAAAGCAAAAAGGGTGTGGGACTGTTGGTTGAAGAGTCTGAGGATAAAGTAGAGTTTGCATTCAATAGAGTAGAGTTTCCAAAGGCCACTTTGGAATGATTAGGTGATAGTTAAACTGGGAAGAAGTTAGTGATTAGAGTAGGAATGAAGCTGTGGATGGAAGTAGTATGAGCAGGCTTCTTAAACCTTAGGGAGAATCAATGTCCAGAACTAGAGAGTCAGTTTAAAAAAAAATTTTTTTAAGGTATTAGAAGCCTCTTTCACCACAGGATCCTGTAGGCTCCTACTATTGATCTTCCCAGCCCCACCTGAAGATAAAAACTAGGAAGGAAAAAGCCCAAGAAGAAGCTACATTTTCACTTCAATTTGCCCTATGTGTGAGAATCTGGTATTAGCCACTTATCAGTCATCTTTCCTGAAAATAGGATTTCCTGAAATGCTATGGGTAACTGAGTGTCTGAAGAAGTCAGGAGTATTTATGGCAAAGTAGGGTTTAAAAGGTACAAAAAAGGAAAATCTAGAGTTTTAAAAGAGAAATACTTTGATCAACAGTTTTGATAGGGACCAATCCTGATTGCTTTTAGTCTTCAAGTGTCTTATGGAAATGGAAGCAAATAGAATCAACCAATTTTTGAGTTTCCCTTAATCTAAATCTAATACATTGTACCTTCATCTTCCTATACTTACACCACCTCCTTAAACAAGTTGAACCCTGACTTTGCCTGAGGATTCCACATCTTTAGTAGCCCTAGTACTGTAACCCCCTTTTCATGCTCACCTTATCTCACAGGGCTCAGAGTTAAAGTGAATATATTTCATATATACTGCTGCGTGTCGACCCTTGCTATGCCATCATCACTTGATAACCTCTCCTTTCAGGTTCATTCAATCTGACCATCCTTCCCTCTCCTAATGTTTGTCTCTGATTTTGGCACCTGGTTCATAATTGTCTCTATCCATTCCGCTGCCATAATCTTTGAAAATTTCATTAATGACATTGAGTACACTGTCCTCAGTTTCTTGAACTCCTCAATACTTATGACTTCTACCTCAGCTGCCCCCATTATAGTTAACACTTTAGTTATCAGATGAAACTGCTCCAAAATCTTACTGGGAAATATCTTCTGGTCTTTTCACCATTCTCATCCTTCCCTCATGCATGTCAATTTTTTATTTTATATTGGTTGCTTAATTCTCCCCTATTCTATGAACCATCTTCTAGCCCTTCTCAAACTTGACCTGAGAGTCAAACCTGTATTCCACTCTTGAATCAATTGTTCCTTTGACTTTCCAGCCTTTGTACTCTGCTAAGTCTTCTACCCCAGATAGTTTCTACCATCTGCATCCTCTGTTCCTACTCCCAAGCAATCAAATGCTGTTTAAGGAAATTTTTAAATGGTAATTGAGTACTTTCCTAACTGGGCTCATGCAACAGCAGGATAATTTTTTCCCTTTTTTCTTATTGACCCTCTTCTATACAACAAAACAGCTATTCCAAACCTCTTCTCACATCAAGCCCCAAATTCTTCCCTCTTCCCTTGCCTAGCACATAGACAATCTCACTATTATATAAACTTTACTGAGAAAATTGAAGCCATCTGATTTGAAGCAAACATTTATAAGCATCTACTATGTACCACATAATTCAAAGACAAAAATGAAGCAGTTCATGAACTCAAGGGCTCTTCCTTGCCTCCCTCAATAAGTTAACCAGCTTTTATTAAGGGCCTACTTTGTGCCAGGTTCTAAAGATACAATGACAAAAGTAAAGACAGTCCCAGCTGACAAGGGGCTTGTAATTTATCAGGGAACATAACATTTACCTAGAGAGGTATGCACAAAATATCTACCAATTAGATAAAAGGTGATTGGAAGGGAA